TAAAAATAATATTTTAATTTATTTTATATTCATTTTGTGTTTTGTCTACAGAAATTCTTCAAATTTGCGCTAGCTGCAGCAAACACGTGTCAATCTAAGCAGACATTATCCTTAATAACTTTTGTGTTTCTTAACCGATCTTGTTGAAATTTTCAGCAGTAGTTCCTATTGTGCTATAGAATATTTGTATATTCTCAAAAAGTCAATTGCATTAAAATTGTGGCTTAAATTGGTGGGCAATACAAATTGGTTGAGTTGGAGATAGCTATAAAATGAAAGATGCTTGATATATATATACTATTCTTAAGATTCATGTCAAGTTTGGTGACTGTAGCTTATATAACTTACGAGATTTGCTCAAAAAACTGGAATTCAGATTGACAACTAAAATGATATTAGTCAGATTTCGAAACGGTTGGGGCGGATTCGTTATCAGCGATTTGACTGTACGCGCATTTCGCAAAAAACCACAACAACTGATAAATACTATGCATATTATATTATTTAATTGTATTCTTCTCGAAACACCCTTCACTTTGATATTTAACGGGCCGTTAAAATGGCATTTGCGAAATGGCATTTTGTCGAAAGGCACTTTGGAAAATCTCATAGAAAGTCACGTTGATGATTATATTGCACGTAGCCGATGTCCACTAACGGATACTACGTAGTAGCATACTATATCTGTATATATGTACTATTGACTATTTAGCTGGTTAACTGGAGGAGGCGATGACGTTGCCCTTCAATTGGACAAACAGAAAGTTAAACAGCTTAATAAACAAGCACACACAGAAGCTAGAAGCATTTACCTTTTTCAGTGAGAACCCATCCATTTAATTTATCAGAAAATATATGTGTAGACATATAAATAAACTTAATGCCACTTAAGATTCTGGCACTTGACTTTTGGTATGGGGCCTTTGCATTTTCAAGTGCAACCCGGGTTATTATACAATTGATAGAGCGCAACAAGTTGAGCCCGGGTATAGAGAATGTCGGAAAGTGATATGCTAAAAGTCCCAGCCACGATAACAAACATGATGGAGCATATGAACTAGGTGTTTACTATGGTATTTCGGGTATCATAATGGCCCAAGGAGGGAGTGTCAATGGGTAAAGTACAAGCTCATTGTTAACTGAGTAATTCTTGACAATCTTTGTGGCACTCGTATCTAGTGGTTCATATCAGTTAATTAAACATGTTACCCAGAAAACGTTTTAAATGCCCCACTGACTAGAGATGGGCGCGTGACAGATTCTCAAAACACAACACGAACACGAGACGCACGCACGCTCCGAAATGTAACTAAAACGACACGCATAACTTTTTGCAAAAGAACAAAATACTTTATATTTATTTCTTTACATTATTTCTTTATATTTATTTCTTTACATATATATCTAGAATTTTAACTATCAGAGAGTGCAATTTGCAATCGTGCCTGTTGTTTGGCTTGAAATAAACAAATATTTTCTTTTTTGTTTTCTATTATTATTTTACAAAAAACTTTAAAATTTTATATTTTCATAACTTTTAAGCTATTTTCTATTTCCTATTTTCGTATTATCAACACGCACACATCTAATAGTTTCATTTTTAGCACGAGCACGTCGTGTTCGTGTCACGACAGACAACAATAGACGCGCCCAACTCTGCTTTAGATCGTTCTACGCACACGACTAATATTTTCATTTTCGGCACGAGCAAATCGTGTTCGTGTCACGAAACTCTAACTCTGCTGTAGATTGATCCACGCGAACGTCTTATATTTTTTTCTAAGCACGAACACGTCGTGTCACGAATGAAAACAAGACACGCGCCCAACTTTGCTTTAGATCGTTCTACGTACACGTCTAATATTTTCTTTTTGAGCACGAGCACGTCGTTTTGAGTTCGTGTCACGAAAGAAAGCGAAACACGCGGCCAACTCTGCCTTAGATCGTTCTATGAATACGTACATATATGTATGTTAATAAAAACGTCCATTCCCATAGTTGTCATGCATAATAATAATATCTAAATTGATATGTGTAAGCTTCTTATATTTGTGTCACGTACGACGAAGTGGTTCAGATTTGTTTTGGCTTTTGTTGCGGCTGTTTATCAATTTGCAATTTCCTATTTTGTTGATTTTAATTAATACTAAAGATAGTGCGCCGCACTACAGCTGCTGCCATAAAGTAACTGTTACTTAAATTCAGCCTTCGACTATAATCCATAAATTTTGACATACTTCAACTACAACTACAGCAAAAAGCGCCCATAAGCAACGAAATTGAAATAGATTGCAAGCGATATCATTAAATTTATGGCTTTTGCCATACGAATACGAATATTTATGTGTATGCGTTTCTGTTCAAAACGCCGTTCGATTCGCTTAGCAACTTTTTCATTTGGCCTCTCGAGATTTCCAATTAACTCGACGTGACCTTCCAGAGTTCGTCGAAGTTCTTTGGTTAACCAACCATCCGGCGTAGTTCCCAACCGGAGACCGAAACAAAAATTAGTGAGTCACATGTGAAATTCGGTCTGTCTGTTATTTCCATTTAGCGACTTTTCAATCTAAATCTGTGCAAAATCACACGTTTGTCTTTTGATAGACATAAACAATTAAACAATAAATAATTATCACATCGCAATTGACCCGTCTTTTGCGCCGGCCAAATAAACGCAAGCACTGAAAAGTCCCCTTCTAAAACACCCATTGAATACGAGTCGAAAGGGGTATAATGGATTTATGTCTATGCAGAAGGGAGTATTATAATTTCCTAAGCAAGCACTGAAAATTCCCCTTCTAAAATACCCATTGAATACGAGTCGAAAGGGGTATAATGATTTTATGTATATGCAGAAGGGAGTATTATAATTTCCTAAGCAAGCACAGAAAATTTCCCTTCTAAAGTACCCATTGAATATGAGTCGCAGCGGGCATAATGGTTTTATGTATATGCAAAAGGGAGTATTAAAATTTCCTAAGCAAGCACTGAAAAGTCCCCTTCTAAAATACCCATTGAATATGAGTCGCAACGGGTATAATGGTTTTATGTATATGCAGAAGGGAGTATTATAAGTTCCTAAGCTAGCACTGAAAAGTCCCCTTCTAAAACACCCATTGAATACGAGTCGCAACGGGCATAATGGTTTTATGAATATGCAGAAGGGAGCATTATAATTTCCCAATCAGAGGCAGGTAATTATAAAACTATCGATAAATTTCCCCTGCTTTTGCGCAATCGATAAGCATCGTCTCACTAGTTTTTTTTTTCTCAGAGACATACAGTTATTTGTTAGTATAGAAGTACGAATCTTTGCTACAGGGTATCTCTGGTTGGACAGTGGTTGGGCTTAAAATCTTTCTTTTGTTTGTTTCTTTTATGAGTGCTCATCAAAAGATCAGTTGTGCACAGCATGGACAATTTCAAGTGCTTTCACAGCTGATGTAGATATGTTTATATATATATATATATCTGTATATACACAGAAACAAACGATATATGTGCATAAATATAGCGAAATCCAATTGAGGGAAACCCGGCGCGTGACTAGCCTCTGCGATTTGTGCATGTCAATGACCGTTTTGTTTTTTTTTCATATTATTTCAAATACAAATAAATGTAGATCAATGCGAAATTTGGGTGAAACTGTTGAATTGCCTGTCGTCTGATAGTTGGAGAATTCGGTGCGCTTATCAGTTGCTCCATATCAGCTAACATTTACCGTACATACAAAAGAGTGCTCTCCCTTTCTCTCTGCTGCATGCGAATGGTAACATATTGCTATTGCAGAAAACACTTCGACAAGTTGTTGTTGACCTTAACAGCAGCTGCCAATGCAAATACACACACACACACACACACACGCATGTGAGTGTTTGTGTAGTTTCTTGAAGTGGCTGCCAAGGAAGTAATTGCATTTAGCCACGTTAGTACGCTGGCGATAATGCATTAATATTACAAATTTAATACTGAGATATCATTAATAAATAAAGTCACATGTTAATTAAAAGTCATGCCGGCAATTCGATTTAATATTTTTAAATATACTATGCACCAGCTGCTGCCGCCGCCGCTTGGCTTGTTGTTTGTCTTTCTTGAGTGGGTCGACAGCGAGCTGCTGCTTTGTCCAAACAGGTTTAAGCCTAACAACAACAAAATACAATACATTGAAAGGCGTTTACGTTGTTGGCTATCACGTGAACAAATTATTATTCGCCCTCGTAAGCAATAAAAAACAATCGCAAATTAGCATGCGCTCGAAACAAATGGCAACAAACAAACACGCGCTCAACAATTACAATTGCAACTCTGCGCAGCATAGCAATCGATAACATTTAAGCGGGGTATCAATTAGTAGGCGTGACACGACGCTAATGCACTTTGTGTGGCTTAAAAGAAAACGGTTTATTGTGCTCGAGTCGACAGCTCCAACAAGTGCCCATCTCTAGCGTGTATTGTATACTTTGGTATATTTGGCTTTTTGCCAATCGAGCGCTACGGTCACACTGACATCACAGCACAACACAACAACTTGTAAACACGTAGTAAACGCAACTGTAAATCAACGTTAGCGAAAAATCATAAAAAAAAAATAAATTAGAAAAACAGCAGTGAAATTAAATACTTGCGTGCATACATTTTAAATAATGCATTTTTTATTTAGATTATAATGTGCCTTTATTTTGGCATAACAGTTGCAATTGCATCGGTTTTGTTTTAGCTTTCGGTTGCGCTTGGCTGCAGTTACCTGCTGGGGAGTTCGGGTGAGTGTGTATGGGGGGAGGGGAGGGTGGAGTGTCTCATAAAGAAATCACTGAAATTGCCTCCGTGCTATTTATATTTATAGGTAGACATATATGTATACACACACACACGCACACAAATGTTTGTTACGCTACAACAATGACATCACAGCTGTTGTTGGCAGAAACAAAACGAAAAATAAAGACACGGAAACATAATTAACACTTTCTCCTTTCACTTGTTCGATCCAATTGCAGTTTCAAGAGATCGTGCCTGATATGGATGACACCGAATTCATGTTCAACGAAAAGCAATCGATACGCGACTCCTCACGCACCCTCAAGAAGTATGGCAGCACCTGCTGCAACAATCTGAGAAATAATGAAATTCTCATACGACACACGGTGGAAAAAACGGATACACTGCAAGGAATTTCACTCAAATATGGCGCCACGGTATGTGCTTAAACAAATAAACAGTTTGTCGTTTAAACAAATTATATACAGTTAGCAGTGCTGCCAGCTGTCGCCCACAAAATGTAGCCAAATCTAACGGTAAAAATAGCTGAATTAGCTGTGTGCGCAAAAGCGATGCCAAGAAATAGCTAAATCAGCCAAAAACCGCTATAAAGTAGCTGTAAGGGCAAAAAATAGCTAGAAAATAGCTGAACGTAGTAGAATTATGCTAAACGTGAAAATAGCCGAAATAAGCTAGAAATTAGCTGAACGGGCAACACTGCAAGGTATGCTTAATCGATTTGAAAAATGGCCTAAATTAGCCAGAAAATAGCTGAACTTAGTAGAAATATGCTTAATAGAGTTGGCCTAAAAATAGCCAAAATTAGCTGGAAAAAAGCTGAACGCATTAGAAATTTGCTTAATCGATTTCAGCCAAAAATAGCTAAAGTTAGCTAGAAAATAACCGAACGGGCAACACTGCAAACTATGCTTAATCGATTTGAGTTAAAAATTGCTAAAATTAGCCAGAAAATAGCTGAACGGGCAACACTGCAAGGTATGCTTAATCGATTTGAAAAATAGCCTAAATTAGCCCGAAAATAGCTGAACGTAATATAAATATGCTTTATAGAGTTGGCCTAAAAATAGCGAAAATTAGCTAGAAAAAAGCTGAACGTAGTAGAAGTGTGCCTCATCGATTTCAGCCAACATTAGCTAGAAAATAGCCGAACGGGCAGCACTTGCAAAGTATGCTTAATCGATTTGAGCCATATATGCAGTTCACTAGAAAACCCCCCCCCCCCCCTTCACCCGCTAGGGTGCACGTGTGTGATCCGCTTGCAACTTGCAATGGCTTCTTTTTAGCTGTCGTGTGGCACGCAAATTATTTAAAATTCCAATTGTCAGCTAACTTTCAACTTTATCGATTTAATAGCCTGCAAGGCTTTAAATACATTTCATTATTTACGAGCTGCGAGCCACGCTTGACACTAACTTGGCCAAATAAGATAGCAACACAATTTAGACATGGACGGGGAGTGGTAAGGGGAGGGGGGAGGGGGGGTAGAGGGTGCTTATCAGATGTGTTATCGCGCAAACTGGAGAGAGAAATGCTGCAGCCAAATGTTCATGACAGTTTGCTGCATATGATTTATGTACAGTTCAGCAGTCACGAGTGCGCGCCCAGAATCTAGGCTAATATTTAAGTTTTTTTTTTCTAGTCAACATTTGATCAGCTTCCACACAGATAAGTTGTTGGCATTACATCAGTATTAGTTTCATTTGGTTCATTTACCTTGTTGTTGGCCCAATTAATCATTGTGATTCCAAATGACTCAAGCACGGGCTGTGTCAACGCAGCCATCAATCAGACAGACAGTCTATTAGCTTGTCACTCATTAAAATGCATATAGTATACAGTGAAAGCTCGCTAGAGCGAACAGCGATTCGTTAAGCTGATATCGGGAAATGCAAACAAATTTTTTTTTAAATTTCCCATAAAAAGTCGCTTATTGTCACTTATTTGACATTTGCTTGTTAACATTTAATTTAAATATACAATATTATGAATGTACAGTGAAAGCTCGCTTGAGCGAACAGCGGTTCGTTCAACAGATATCTGCAAACACAAAGCTATTTTTGAAAAAATTTTAAAATTCCCCATGAAAACTCGTTTATTTTTTTTAAAAATGCAATATTTTTATAAGTTCTCCGGTAGAAAAGTTAGTTAAATATATATGTATATATTTAATATAATTTGCTGAAGATATTTAAAAAAAAAACATAACCGACTCCTCCGATAGAAATAGATGATATATAGGTACGATAGGTAAAAATATCTTGAAGAACAAAGAAGTTGCCTATGCAAAAATTTAAGTTTCGACCGATAGTTCCTATGGCAGTTATATGATATAGTCCTCCGATTCATGATGAAAGCTTTAAAACTGAGAGATTAGTTTATGGTCAGACGAACTAGATGACTATAGAGCCTTAGCTGAACGAGAATATATATATTATATATACATATAAAGGCCAAGAAAGAAAAGAGGCAAGTAAAATACAACAAGGTAGTCTAAGAGGGGTGTCTGCTAGTCGAGTCTCGACTGTAATTGATTAGCTTATATATATAATATATTGATATAAATTTGTCCTTTTATCTACACATTTCAGACGGAACAAATAAGGCGCGCGAACCGTCTGTTCGCCTCGGACAGTTTGTTCTTGCGCCAGTTCTTGCTGGTGCCCGTGGAGAAGACGTCACCCTACTATTTGCAGGCAAATGGGGCTGACCAGCTGGCCGATGTTTTGGCCTCGCCGCCGACCACGCCGGACGCGAATGTGCAGCGCGAGGCGCTGAACAATGCCAACAATTTGAGCTACAACAGCGGCGGCAGCGGCGGCAGCAGCAACAGCTGCAACACAAACATCTCGTCCAGCTCGTCGAGCACACGTTCCGGCCAGCTGCATAGCACACCGCGCCCCTATTCAATTGCCGGCGAGCTGCTGGTCCAGGCCAGCGACGAGGATCCGGCGCTGATGCACAATCACAGCGCCTGCAACAGCAAGCAGAGCAAATCCCTGGACTCTGTGGCCGCAATGACGCCCGAGGAGGAGAATCGCAAGTGCATGAATGACTTTCTCAACAAGATCGACAACACAATATCCGAGTCGCGCAAATACGTCGAACGCTCCAAGGAGTAAGTGCCTCTGCTTTAACAATAAATATGCCAATATAACGTGTCCTTTTCTTTTCTGGCAGCCTGGTGAACAGTCAGAGCGATGCGGAGATTTGCATCAGCCCCACAACCGATGTCTTTTCGCAGCGTCGCAATCAGCAGCTAAATAACTCCTACAAGAACAACAACAACAACAACAACAATCGTCCGCCGCATCATCAGAGGCACAGCTCCACGGGCAGCGGCAACTCGGACACGGCGCAGCTTCTGAACACAACACAAACACGTCGCGTGCAAAACTCATTGAAGCGCCTGGAGAAGCAGCAGGATGATTTCTTTGAATTGTAGCAGCTGGACGCGAGATTTTGTTGAGCAACAAAACTAGATTTAATTACTGTGAGACGCGAGAGCGAGAGATAGAGAGAGCTAGAGTTAAAGAGAGAGCGAGAATTAATTTTACAAATTGTTTTTAATTGCGGCGCACGAAATGCTGCGCTAAATGTAAATTATAGATACGTACACACACACACACATATATATACATACGTACCCTACCTATATACTATATACATATATATATAATTGTGTATATATGTTGGGCAGCGCTGCGCTATTTAAACCTGTACTATATACTATATATACATGACGACGCGTTTGTCGAATGTTTCTCTTTTTTTGATCTTATTGTTAGTCCCAATCAATGTCAGCCCTTTGTAATTGCCGCCAATTTGCTTGCAAGCCCCCTAAAATATGTTTATTTTCTCTTTTGTATGATTAGCTTTAATTACACTTTAAATGCCTAGTTTAGCTATGAGAATTATTAATCTTAATTCACACACACACTTAGTCGTTAGTCTCTTCGAGTTCAAGCGCATAACTGACTGCTCTTTGGCATAATTGTGTTTGTCACATTTAATTGGCCGCTAAATAACTGTTTAAATCGAACTTGTAACTTTTAATTATAATTTATTTGTTAGTATTCTTAATGTTATTGTGAAAGCATATTACAATAATTGTGCAAATCGAGACACAATTCAGCCGTCACCTTTCCCAAGGCCAACTAAACTGCAAATCAAGTTCTATGAGAAGATTTTATAAACAAAATAAAGTAAGAATGTGTTAAAAAAAATTGTTCACCATTTTGTTTAATAATCTTTGGATATATTGTTAAGATGTTGACATATTTTTTATGTATATTATTTGTTTAGATAAAATGTAGCTTAGATTCCGAATCGGATGACTTAATCTATGTATAATGGAAAATTCGCTTGGTATGAAACCTTTTCCTAATATATTGAACCTTTGGAAAATGCATCCCTCCTTGGTGGAAATGGAGGTCAAAGATTTGGTAGGTGACGTTTCGAGTTCAAATTCATTTCCAAGGATCTCTGATTCCAACATTTGGAGCTTTATTCGTAGCACTTTAAACATATTTTTAAATAGAAGTGTAGACTAAGATAGTACGGATCGATTTCGACTTTCCACGGGCTTTCCCCTTAGTGAAAAGCTAATATCTAAAATTTGTAGCACAAAAAGTTCCACGGGCAAAGCCGGGCAATATCCGCTAGTAATATTATATAGTTGCCATAGGAACGATCGGCCGATAATTAAGTTCTAGTATGGAAAACTTTTTTTGTTTATCAAAATAATAATAATAATAATTAAATCATAATATTATATAGCTTTACGGCTCGGTCGAAAAATGAATTTTTGTCTGGCAAAATAATTTGGTTTGCCTAGATATTTCAACTACGAGCTTAACTTTCCGAACATATCCGCCAAACCTTAAGGCAAGGGTATTAAATCTGCCTTACTTTTTCATTTTTAACTTTTACGGATTCTTAACTCCTGGAATTCTTGTTGACGCACGCGCAGCTTGAGCTGGCTTCTGCCGGGCACAGGTTGCCCCTGACAACGAGTTGGGCCAAACAATTGGCCGAGTTGTTGTTGGGCAACTTTAGAGGCATTTTAGGAGGCGAACATGTCTGACCAGGAGCTGGACGCAGCCGTGATTAAGGCCACGCAGCAGAGCCTGGGCAAGTACATAAAGAAGCCGCCGCTGACGGAGAAGCTGCTCAAGAAGCCGCCGTTTCGCTACCTCATGGACATCTTCACGGCGGTAAGGCTCAGCTATAGAATTCCTGAAAGTAGCTCAGCATTTTTTTCTCTGCGTAGTTTATAAGGGAAACGGGCTGCTTTGAGGGTCTCTACACGCCGGAGGAGCAGCTCTTCGAGAACATCAACGATCGGTAAGACAACGATCCAATCCTTAATCCATGGAATCTAAAAATCCAAATTTTCACAGCAATGCCAAGACGCGCTTTCTGCAAAAGATGATCGATGTCACAAGTGAGTTCCGGCCGTAGACTATATTGTATGCCCCATCTAAATTGGGAGATTCGTTTCAGAGCTCACCACGAAGCGGGAGCTGAAGGTGCGCACCTCCAAGATTGTCGCCGGGCACGAGCCGAAGCTGACCAACGAGCTGCTGCAGGCGATGGCCAGCGTGATGGAGCAGCAACTGGACTGGCGTGATGCAGTGCAGCAGGTGCTGGCCAGCGACCAGAGCGAGCCCAAGCCAAACAAATCCGGCGACAAACCGAAAGCGAGCAGCAAACAAACGTCGCCAACTGCCAAGGAGCAGCTCACGCAGCGCAGAGAGAAGCGCATATCGCCGCAGGAGCAGAAGCTGCGCAAGGCCACAGATCAGGCAGCGCGTGCCACGCCCACCGAAAAGGCGCCGGCAGCACAGCAACGCCGGCCGAAGGCCTCGCCGGAAGCGCCAAAACCGAAGCCAAAGCTGAGCAAGCAGAGCTCCAAGCAAAAGAGTCCATCGCCCGTGAAGCCCAAGCAACAAGCTTCGACGGAGGGGGAACAGGCGTCCATGTCGCCAGCACCTGCCGTCAAGCTTGCCTCACCAGCGTCCTCGCCCAAGGCAGGCGCCGTGAAGAGCGCCTCACCCAAGGCCGAGCCGCCGGCAGCTGTGGAGCCGGTCAAGGAGCCGCCTCCAAGTACTGCGGCAGCTGAGCCCGCGGAGCTGGAGCTGGAAAGCCGCAAATCCTCCAGCAAAAGTCGACGCTCCAGCGCTAGCCAGCGACAGGCCGTAGTCGAGGCGGTCTCCCCGGACCCGGCCAAGTCCCCCAACGAGGAACAGAGCACGGCCTTAGCCTCGACTCAGCCGGCGGACGCCAACAACAACAGCGGAGAACCCAAGCGGGAGCGTGAGGGCACCTTCACGCGCGATAACTCCAAGGAGTCAAATGGCCCGTTGACACGTCCGCGCACCTCGTTGCGTCCGCCCAGCGCCCGGCCGGCCTCGGCACGGCCGGGCGCACCGCGACGACGGAATGTGGAAATTGTGCTGCAGCCAAACGATCAGCTCAAGATGAACGGCATCAATGTGAAGCTGGAGACGTTTGGCGATTTCGATGATGACGGCGAGAATCTGGTGGTCATCGAGGATGCCCACGCACATGACATAGATGCGGGCACGGCGAGCGTTGGAGCTCTGGATCCGGAGGCTAATCAGGGTCGTCTGGTGCAGCAAATCCTGGAGACCCAAAAGGAGCTCGTGCAGCAGGGCACCGACTCCGGCAAGGAGGAGTCCCAGCAGAAGCCTCAATCATCCGCCACGCGCCAGAGCTCCGCGCGCCAAATGAACGATCTGCGCGACATCATACAGACCCTCACGAAGTCAGTGAATCCTCTCGGCAAGCTCCTGGACTTTATACCCGAAGACATCGATGCCATGCAGCTGGAGCTGAGCATGTGGCGCGAGACATACACCCAGGCCGCGGCGGAGCTGAAGCGAGAGCGAAGCCTCACAGCGTCCGCCACGGAGCCCATGAAGCAGCAGCTGGTCAACATCGAGGCCAGCATTGGCGAGTTCAAGGAGCTGGTCGACGAGAGTCGCCACAAGATCCTCCAGAACAACGAGCGCATACTCAAAATGCTAATGGAGCAGTGAAATGTTGTTTTTGTCTTGTAGTTTTTCGAAGTATCTTTAAATTGGAATACGCCGGGTAAATAAAGTAGACTTTCTCGAGTCCAAAAATGGCATTTCTTCTTAAGATCAGAGTCAATTGATCCGAGCAATAGACATAAGAAGATCTTAATATGATTCTCAAATAACTTTTGCAGTGTGTATAAAGCTGATCCGTCGGTAAACAAACCAGTTTCATACAAGCTTTTCACCAATTTTCCACACCTGCGGGTGGAATAGTGGAATAGCAACGAGAACGAAGGGCTATCTTCGGCACGCCGAAGATTTAATACCCTTGCAGACTGAACCTCTTATTTTTGCCCTGTTTGGTCAATATATCTTGATAAACAAAAAGTTTTCTATACAATAACTTAATTATCAACCGCTCCTTCCTATGGCAGCTATATGATATAGTGGTCCGATGTTAATGGGATTTTGCATATATATAAGGAGCATACTAAAACTTATAAATGCCGAGTTTGGTCAAGATATCTTGAAAAACAAAAAAGTTTTCCATGCAAAGACGTACTTTTCGACCGATCGTTCCTATGGGCGCTACATGATATAGTGGTCCGATGTTAATAGGATTTTGCATATATATGAGGAGCAAAGTAAAACTTATAAATGCAGAGTTTGGTCAAGATATCTTCATAAACAAAAAACTTTTTCATATAAGAATCTCATTGTCGACCGATCGTTCCTATGGCAGCTATATGATATAGTGATACGATCGAGTCGGTTCCCACATATGTGCTGCGTGTAACAGAATAAGAGACTTCTGCAAAGTTTCATAAAGATAGCCCTTAAACTGAGACTAGTTCGCATAGAAAAAGACAGAAGGACATGGCTATATCGACTCGGCTGTTGATACTGATCAAGAGTATATATACTCTATGGGGTCGGAGATGTCTGCAAGGGTGAAGCTTCCCAGCTCTCAATTAGGTCAGTCGGTGCGTCAATCTGTCAGTCACAAGCTCAGTTTTTATATATAAAGATGTATATTTAATAAATTTATTTAAAAATAGCATATGAAATATCGCATGTAAATTGTAAACAACAGTTCAATGGGTGGTACATTATTATCATTCATTATCTAAGGTCACTTAGTGTTCAAACCAAAACCAACATGCTTAAGAAAATTAAATGTGTAGGGTATTTCACAGCGGATGATGCAGCATGCATTAAATATTTCATCGCTTGGAATGAAGAAAACCGTATAGAGTTAACCGACTGTGTGAATACCCTTTAAATGTATTTACAAACGCTTGTCAGGTGCAACGTGGGTTAAGCCTCCGACTCAACAACATCCTCTCTGGTGTCCGTGTCCGTGTTCTCGGACTCCTTGTCTTTGCCCTTGTCTGTCTCTTGATCCTGGTCCTGATCCTCATCGCCCAGCACATACTCAATAACATCGTCGATGGGAAAATTGTTGAGCAGCGCCTTGATTGAATCATTGTGAATCACCACGGTGAAAAGCAGCTTGCAATATTCGCGCATGCGACTGCCGTAGTCCAACTCGGCATAGGCTTCGCTGCCCTTGGCCAGATCGTGGCCACAGTTCTCGATGACCTTGCACAGCACCGACTCCTCGGAGCTGTTGGGCCAGCCGTATTTCTTGAGGGTTTGCGGATCGACCAGCATGTCTATTAGCTTGGCAATGTTCTCCTTGAGCTTCAGATCCTCCTCGGTTAGCACCTCGCCACCGAACTCATCATCGCTTGACGGCTCCTCCAGATTATCCGCAATGGCAGCGGCCAAGCTGGCGGCCAGTGATTTTCGTTGCTCCTTCTTGACCACCGGCGACACAGACGGCTTCTCCTTAGACGACTCGGCCTTGACATCGGTCTCGGCCGTCGGCTCGGTTGCCTTGTCACCCTCCAGTGGCAAAATGGTGTAGACCTCGTTTTCCAGGACAATCGTCTGCGCGTTGCCGTCACCCTCATCCACCAGAAACTCGCGCACCACGACTCCGTTGCCATCCGTTTTGCTGGAGATGAGCGAGCCGGCTGACGTGTTGGCAGCCGGCAAGTCTTCCTCCTGCTCTTTCTGCTCCGCCGCCGCCACCGGCGCCACGACGGTCTTCTTAGCTCTGCGCTTGGCTGGTGGCTCCGTGCCAAAGATGTCATCCGGGTCGCACTCGTGCACGCTGCGTATATGATTCCGGAGTGTCTCGGTTGTGTCGAAGTTCTTGTCGCAAATGGCGCAGTCCGTGCGCTCGATCATTTTGGCCGAGCGCTTGGCTCGTGTCGATTTAACAGCTGCACGCAAAAATGATTCAAAATGATGTGTTAAAAGAAGGGGAAACGAAGCCAAGTCAGAGGCAACTTACGCGAATGATCGCCAGCGTCCAGGTGCTCCTTGAGCAGCGCGCTGGTGCGGAAGCTTCTTGTGCACTCCGTGCAGGCAAAGGAGGCGCGTTTCTGACGCGTATGATCCTTAACGTGGCGCTCGAGTCTGCATTAAGGACAAATATTTGAGTTGAGCACAAATATATTTGCTGTGAAACTTACTGCTTCTCCGTCTTGAATTTTTGGATACACATGGAGCACGCGTAGGGACGCAGATGCGTCTTGGAATGGGTGCGCAGCTGTGTGGCCTGAATAAAGCTCTTGCCACACTCGTTGCACTTGTGGGGACGCTCGCCAGTGTGCCGCTTCATGTGGCGATTAAGCACCTCCTTGACGGCAAAAGATTGGCTACACTGCAGGTGAAGAACGACAACAATTAGCAGGAATAACTTAAGCTGGCCGACTGGACATGATTTAACCAATAAAACCACAAGGTATAAATACAACAATCGTGAAAAGGTTGTCTAAAGATATTCCAAGAAACAATCGATTTTAACATTAACAAGCTTTGTTGTTGAATAAAGGATAACATATCCCTGCTTCTCCTTTTAAGGCTTTAACTTGTTGAGTATTTCAAGCGTAAAGGAACAGAGTCCATTAGCTGTGTGTTATACCCTGTGGCAAGAATTGGATTGGTGAAAGACTTTAGCCCTCCATCAACAAAACAGCTGCCAGTTTTTGTATACGGAAGGTAATTTGATTAATGGAATGTAAAGGTGCGTACCACAGTGCAGGTGTAGGGTTTCTCGCCCGTATGATAACGCCGATGTTTCTTGAGCGCCACCAGAGCCGAAAACTTTTTGTCGCACAGATCACAATCGAAGGGCTTCTCGCCCGTGTGGGTGCGTATGTGAATGCTGCAAGAATGAAGGCAAATGGATTAGCCTCTGGATGGAGACAACACAATCCCCCCGGGCTCCTTACTTGAGTGTGGAGAGGCTGTAGAAGCAATTCTTGCACACATGACACATGTACTCCGGCTTCTTGACCACCTGGGTGCCCAGATGCTGTTTGAGATGAGCGCGCAAATTGTCGAGGCGATAGAAGACACGATCGCACACCTTGCAGCTCATGGTGTCGTTCTCATTGGCCGAGCAGGACGAGTATTTCTGATGGCGCTTCAAGTGATACGAGCGCGTAAAGTCCTTGCCACAGATTTTGCAGGCAAACGGCTTGCCACGCAATTGATGCTGCTGCTCGTGCAGCTTTAGCAGCGCGCCGCTCCTCAGCTTGGCATTGCAAATGGAGCAGGGATAATCATTGAACTCCGAGTGTGTTATGAAAATGTGACGCTCATAGCTGGTCTGTGTCTTGAACGACTTCGGGCAATCGGGACAGTTGATGTGGCCCAGCTAAAAAGGAGTTTTCGATTAGATTGCCAATAAGATTGTGTGTGCATATAGTTACATGAAAGGTGTCGTAGCTCTCGCTGCAGCAGAAACATATGTCCTTCTTTTCCATAACCACTGCATCCTTCTCGATCTTCTCCAGATTCTTGAGCATGTCCGCCTTGCGCAGATGATAGCCGCTGTCGTAGCGACAGAACTCCAAGTGTTTCTTTAAGCTTTTGACGCGTCGGAATGTCTTGTAGCACTTGCCGCACACGTGCTCGACCATTTCCTTGAGTTCGTTGTTGCCACTTCTGCGCTTAGCACCGCCTTCCACCACACCGTCATCCTCGTCATCGTCGTCGTCATCATCTTCATCTTCATCCACGCCAGATACCACAAATTCTTCGCCATTCTCCTTTGCTCCGGCACCGAGCTCGACATCATCATCGGCCAGTATAAAGTCTATGGTGTCTTCGTCCTCGACCACCACCACGCTGGTCGTGTTCTCCGCTTTGTTGTTCTCACTTTTGATGGCCTGCAGCACATAGTGATCCATTTTCTTCTTCTTGCTGGGCGATGTCTTTATCTTGGCCGTTTCCACGGCTGTGCTGGCGGGCGCCGAGCGCTTCTCGTTTAATATCTTGACGCTGGTGCTGGCGGTTTTGGGCGTGGCACGCCTATCGCCGCCCTTTGTACTACTCTGAGCTTCATCGTTGTTGTTGTTGTTGTTGAGTATTTTGATGCTTGTGCGTTTCTCCGGCTTGAGGCGCGGCGATACGGAGGCGCCTTTACTGGCAGCTGCAGCCTTTGCTGCCACATCGTTGAGCAGCTTCATGCGTGTGCCAGTGCGTTTTTCCTTGGGTTTCTCTCCGTCGGAAATGTTGATGCTGCTGGAGGCGGGAGTTGCCGCTGTGGCGACCTTGCTGGCGCTCATTGAATGCCTCGAGAGAATCTGTGACGGTAGCAGGATGACAAGGATCAATAGGGTTGCGCAAGTTAGCCTACTTTCAGGCTCGTGATTTATTTAAATCGATCTCTTCGCCCAGCGTCACGTCAGCAACGCCTAGAAGCAGCGCACAATAAAAATGGCGGCGCCAGCCACTGATCGGTTGAGAGAGCGAGCGAGAGCACGCTACGTGCTGACTGAAGAAAAAAAAAACGCAACAAGTTCTCTCGCTCTGCGTCTGGTCGTGAAAAAAATATTTAGGGTTGAAAATAATTCTAATATAAAACTTTGAAAATTGTTGCATACTTTTCAATATTGAATATTTCTGTTGCCGGCTTTAAAGGAATTTCGTTTAGATCTTTATTTTCCAACTTTTCTATGCTAATCTGTTAATTTGATATTTGAATTTTATTATATTTGCGTTACACACACTCATCCACAGACACATACACACAAAACTGCAGTTGTGGTTTCTCTAATTAAATGTGAAACTTGCGTCAATGAAAGTCATACGTCGCCTGAAATGTCGCTGTCGACCCGATCGACTGTAGCGAAATGCAACAGTTATATGGGGAGAAACTGTGGGCGAGAGCGAGAGAGATAGCGTGGGCTTGTTATTTACTTGTACGTCTACGATGTCCACACTGACTGAAAACGATAGTTTTTTATTTGTATATCAAGATCTCAATTTATGAACGACCTCAGACAAGCTCTACGCATGCTTGTTTAATTTAATTCACTCACAATTTGCAGCTCGAGCAAAGGCACGTAAGCGTACACAATGGCGTTAGCGTCGGACTATTCACACTTTTCGTAGACAACCAATCAGCTGTGCTGACATTAATGTGACCAGGCGCTGTTTCGTTGCTCGCGTTCACTCATCTCGTTACTCGTTCGAGTCTTCAAATTCATTAAACTCCTTAACTGAACGATTTGTTGCATTACTTAATTTGTTTATTGTTATAAATTTTTCTTATTTAAGCCAAAATATTCTACATGATTGTTTAAACAATTAATAAATAACGTGACAGTAACAAAACTGTTACTTGCGACTTAAAAATATTTTTAAGCGTAAATGCTCGATAATATTGATAGCAACTTATCGAAACTATCGTTAATTTGGCATTGGTATTGCTGTAGCTTTATAAACACAGGTAAACTGAGGAAATATTTGTAAAAAGGCAGCTATTTATATATTTGTAATTATTGTAGACATCATGGCTGGCTTGTTCGACTCGGCACATACGGAAGGCCCCGGCTTCGTGGGCATACGTTTCTGCCAGGAATGTAACAACATGTTATATCCCAAGGAGGACAAGGATAACAAATTGCTGATGTACGCGTGCCGCAATTGTGACTACAAACAGGAGGCTGACTCCAATTGTATATATGTGAACAAAATTATGCACGAAATCGACGAGCTGACTCACATAGTGCCGGATGTCATATCAGATCCCACGCTGCCGCGCACCGAAGATCACGCATGCCCAAAATGCTCACATCGCGAGGCGGTCTTCTTCCAGGCGCAAACTCGACGCGCCGAGGAGGAGATGCGACTGTACTATGTGTGCACCAATCAAAATTGCACCCACCGCTGGACCGAATAACATCGGACAAACCGGACTCTGTATACCGGCTTATTTCACACAATTGTGCAAATTGCGCTTAGTCTTAAAGTACATAATAAATTTGTAATCTAAGTATGTTTGAAATCTATTGCACGTTCTACCGGCTACGTTTCCATTGTGTGGTCGCAAATACTTCTCATTCTTAACTGACTGCGTTCGAAGTATTTGTTATTCATTGCAGCGATCAATCAGTGCTGCCAAAAAAAAAAAGCTTAAATCAATGGAAAAAATAGCTAAAAACAGCTGAAATTGCTTTCTGAGCACATATTGGCAATAGAGTGGATTGAGATTTGAATGCCAAATGTTTTCAGCTGACAAAAAATAAATCTAAAAATGGCCAAATTAAGCTAGAAAATAGCTGAATTAGCAACATTGCATGAAATTAGTCACTATGAGAGAGAAAGAGAGGAAGAGCGGAGAACTGTCTCTCGCATGCAAATTTCTTTGCTCATCGCATTGACAAAAATGCCAATATAGCTATCAAACAAAATAAAACAAAAACGATAGAATAAAGCAATTTATTAAACAAGTTTCTTGTGCGTATTCTGAGCTGTTGTTCTAACTCAGCTGCCCAGCCAGACGACAGTTGGTTATTAGAACTTGCCGCGACATGTTGGGCGCCTAACATGTAGACACCGAGAATCTCTAGAGCGCAATAATAATAAAAAATAAAAAAAAAACAAAAAAAAAATTGAATATGGCAAAGACAAATCAAACGAGCGCGGGCGCGGCTGCACCAGAGCCGAAAATGAATTATTTACAAAAAATTTGGCACTTCCGCCGTTATCTGGTGATCGAGCCGTTCTTCTTCTTCTACTTTATGGCCTCCGTTCTCAACCAGGTGGCCATGCAGAATTTCCCGCTGGAAAAGGCGTGCCGCGTAAATCTGGGCTACAGCAAGGCCACCTGCACGTCCATGCTGGACAAATCTGTGTTAGGTATCGAGTGCGATAATTTCAATTTCGAGAACACGACAAATGGCGCCACGCCGGAGCAGGGTCTGCTGGGCATCGATGCGACGGGCTTCAATTACACGGTTTGCAAAGCGGAAGTGGAGGCCCAAATACTGTCCGCTGATATTTCGGGAAAGCGTGCACCCATTGGTAAAACACACACATTGTCTGCTGATGTCTATTTAAATGCTATGGCTAATTATTTATAAACAATACGAGTGCAACCAGTTTTAGAAGTTCGCATTCCAGTATTTCACATTTCAGGTTTCATAATAATAAACACCAAACAGCTAATAAATTCTTTCGCATTATGTATTCCCATATTCCTAATATATCTTCAAATATATGTATGTACATATGTCTAAAGGTTGCGTAAATTAGCAGTTGGTGGTTCCCTCGGCATTTAATTGCAATCATTTGTTTGATAGATTCTCTGAATTCTTTTCGATTACATACATTTTATTGCCGTTTAAAATTTAAGCTTTGTGCTAAGTCTTAAATCATGGGCAATTCGAGTCCAAACCGGTTTTGTTACACAGATTAATTATTTGTTGTTGTTGTTGTCGTTTTTTTCGGATATCTTTTAACCTTTAATTTTTGTCATTGCCAAGGCAACTAAATTGTGATATGTGATTAGAAATCAAGAGAGTTTTTACCCAGCCTCAGGCACTAAGCAGTTGATTAAATGCCAATAAAAATATTTATTGACAATCATTGCATCAGCATTGCCAGAGAAACAACAGTTTAATTTACCTACAAATGTACACAAATGACACTTGTGCATTTTGTGGCTATTCATCTTATTTCATAGACCTCCATTGATGAGTTTTTCCTGCTCACACAGATTTTATGTGAACAACTTTTTTGTTTTGCAAGATCCGTATTTTCTTAATTATTAAAAATTTCGAGCTTCTAACTAATCAGAGCCGCATATCATATAGCTCCGGCCGGGGCTGGCTTCCACTTAAAGCATTTTTATCCAAACTATATTTTTTGAAAATATTTTTAAATTCGGGTTTCGACGCATTTGTCCATTTAACTGCTAGTTTGGTTCATAGAAAAAATAATTAGTTCGGTTCAAAACCCGGTTTGCATCCTTGATAAAAGTACCGTAGACTCATAAGTAATCCACAGAACTGACAGCCCTGTACATTTTTCTTATAGCCGCCATATTTCCGCTGATCGTGCTGCTCTTCGCTGGAGGCTGGTCGGATAGATACAATAAGCGCAAGCCATGCATGATCCTTCCCATTGTGGGCGAGGCGCTCGGTTTTACCTGTAAGTAAGCTAATGTGAGTAAATATTCAGAGAGTTATTTAAGAGTACTTTGCAGGTCTGCTCATCTCGGCTATATTCTTCGATAGCCTGCCCGTGGAGTTCGGCATGTACCTGGAGGTGATTGTGCCCTCGCTTTGCGGTGGCCTGACCTTCTGCTTGATGGCCATATATAGCTATATTACCATTGCCACGCCCGAGGAGGATCGCGTCTTTCGCTTCGGCATCTTTGCCATGTTTGTGACCGGTGCGCCCTTCCTAGGCGCCTTTAGTGGAGTGCTCTTCAACACTTTTGGTTACATAAGTAGGTTGGATATACATTGATATACTTAATATAATTATATAAGATAGATTGGTCCGTTTGTAAGTCCGTCTGTGTAAAAGCCTCGATCACGGCAAGTATTGGAAATTAAATCGATAAGAATCGATATCGATACCTTGGTTTTCATACATATATCGATACTTTTAACAGCTAGAGGCACAATAATAACTAGTTTAGTATTAACAGATTTCGAATATTTTACTTTTCCCACGCTGAGTTGAGGGTATCTCCTAATCGGTCATTCCCGATTAGAGCACTCTTGATTGATTTTAACTGTTCCCCATTTTGATTTCAGTTTCTTTCGCATCTGCCGTTGTCTTTCAAATTATTGCTATACTCTACATCATCTTTTTTATCAAGGAGCTTAAGCCGGCGCCTAAAAAGCCAGAGGAATCGACGGTCGCCGATCTGCCTGCCAGTCAGCTGCAAGGGCATGCGGCTGATAACATGGCTTATGAAACGACCAACATGGATGAGCTGCCGGTCAATAAGAACGTCAACTTTCAATTGACGCCGCACCTGGAGCCTCCCAAAGTGGAGCCACCGCCCGTTCCAGCACGCCGCTCCTTGCTAAAAGAACTCTTTGATCCCACGCTGGTGGTGGACTGCCTTCGGTTTCCTCTAGTGAAGCGCAAAAATAATGGACGCTTTTTATTGATACTGCTGATTTTGGCCTATTTCCTGACCCTGGGACCTGCCACCGGAGAAAACGACTATTGGTATCGCTACACATTGAAGAAGCTGAACTGGAATGGCAACGACTTCAGCATCTATTCGACCATCTCCGGCCTGGCTGCTCTGGTGGGCACCTTTATTGGCACCGCGATTCTGAGCAAAATGCTCAAATTCTCGGACCCTGCAATTGGCACACTCTCCGCCCTGGCCATTGTCGGATCCCGCGTCTTGTTTGTATGTCTTCTAAAGATCTGACTATATTTATGTACCCTGAACCCATCGACAATGGGTAAAAAATGAATGTAATAGGCAGAACAAATGAATGTAGTAGGCAGAACAAAGCATCTGCGAGACTATAACGTATATATATTTGATAAGGACAACGTCGATCTACCAATATCCGTCTGTGACCGGCCAGATATTCTCTGAACATGAAAATAGATAAAAATAGATTCTGTGATATGCTTTTTGGAAAGCTCGAAGATTATAAGAGTAAGATACCCCAACAACAACAACTTAATAATAATAAGGTTTCATTAAGAATATTTCAGTTTATGGATGCCTCCCAAAATTGAAAAAAATAGTTTTAAAAGGTAGAGCCTTCTGCTTTGGTATATGCACACATTTGGCTGGCATATTTAGACCCTGAAAAAGAAGGACTTTAAATACAATAGTTATTCCAGAATACATTGGAGCAAAGAGAAGAATCATCGTGCGTGTGTAGAGTGAAGCTTGAGTACTTGGAAGGGAAGCTTGTCGGTGGGTTCAGGGAGAACTCTAGAGAACTCTTATGTCGAATCTTATCAAATTTCTTTTTTCATATAGTCCTTGGCAACAAACACTACCTCCTTTTATGTGGCCACCGCGGTGGACATGTTTGTCAGTCTGCGCGTGATTGCGATCAAAACAATTGGTGCCAGTATTGTGGATGGAGACGAGCTAAGTGAGTTCTTCTTGATGGTATATATAAGTGATGCATCTAGTCAACTCTTTCCATTTCAGGCAAAATGTATTCCATCTTTGGCATCAGTGAACCCATCGGCCAGTTCATATTCCCGCCCATCTACAGTGAGATTTATCAAAGCACCGTCGACAAATTTCCGGGAGCCATCTTTTTGTTTGGCGAAATCTTTTATGTTCCCAATGTGTTGGTCTTTGTGTAAGTTTTATATAGCCATCAAATATTTCATTCCAAGTTTAACTAATCCACGCCAAATTTCTTTAGACTCTGCTATTTTTTGATGCGTCGTCGTAAGTCCAAGGAGCAGAAAAATGCCGTCGAGTTGGCACAAAATAACGAGCGCAATGGGCAGACGAATCCCGCCAATGGCACCGAGATTACTAGTCTTTAAACCAATTATATATACAACTATTCCTCTTTTGTTATATACTTCTGCAAAGGCCAATTTCTGATTCTTTATATAAACCTAAGTGTAAGTCAGTCGCAGTAGTTTATAGTTTATTTCTATCAGATACGTTGAGAAGCAGGAGGAAGGTAATTCCATTAAAAATACCAAGAAAGAGTGTTCCAGTTTAAGTGTACGTTTTAAGCAACGGTTGTGCTTTCCCCCTTCTCTGACCCAAATAGTGTTTTTTGCACAAACACATAATTCCATGCTTTGCAAGGCGTACAGGGTATCTGAACAGATGTCCCAACCTTTGTGCTTTTGACAATGTCTATGCGAAGGACTCTGGAGCATTTTCCTCTGGGAATTTTCCAATCAGCAAATGCATTCAATTTGATCAGCCAGCCGAAGTGGTGGGCGTGGCACGTGGGTGCTAAATGCCATCTTGGCCACGCATGAAAACAATTGGCAACTAATAATCTTAGTTAATCTGTATGTGTGCGGCGCCTGCCCGGAGGGCAACTTGCCAGGAAAAGCACTTGTTGCCGACAAACCCGTGACTTGCGACTTAAAAATATTTTTAAGTGTAAATGGTAATCAATAGCTTTATCGAAACTATCGTTAAGTTGGCATTTGTATTGATGAAGCTTAACGGTTGTTAGGCTGTGCGAATACTTGTAAAAAGGCAACTATTTAAGTATTTGTAATTATTGTAGGCCCCATGGCTGGCTAGTTCGACTCCGAGCACCAAAGATCACGCATTAATAAAATAGCCCCCATCGCGAGGCGGACTTCTTCCAAACACATAGTTCGTGTCACCAATCAAAATTGCACCGAAGAACATCGGACATACTGGACTCTGTATACCGGCTTATTTCCCACAACGCTTAGTTTTAAAGTACATAATAAAATTGTTATTTTTAATCTAAGAATGTTTGAAGGCTACTGCACGTTGTACCGGCTACGTTTTCATTGTGAGGCCGCAAATACTTCTCATTCTTAACTGACTGCGTTCAAAGTATTTGTTATTCATTGCAGCGTCAATCAGTGCTGCCAAAAAAAAAACAGCTGAAATCAATGTAAAAAATAGCTAAAAACAGCTGAATTTGCTTACTGAAGCCATATTGGCTATAAAGTGGATGCCAAATGTTTTCAGCTGACAAAAAATAAATCTAAAAATTGCCAAATTAAGCTAGAAAATAGCTAAATTATCTACATTGCATTCAATTAGTCACTGAGAAAGTGGAAAAGCATATTAAGTTGCCAATGTTTTCAACAGCTGAGATTAATATGATGAATACATATCAGATTTTGGCTGCAACGAATGTTTGTAGTAAAGTTAAGAGAGTAAGAGTGGCTTGCTTACAGCGAGCAGCTGTTTTTTTTATAAACTACATGTAACGGCCGCTTTTCATGTTTGAGTTTTAATTTAATGTTTTCTAATGATCATAGTTTATCGTGATGCGACTCCTGCAGAATCAAACACAATAGAATAGAGCAAATTATTAAACAAGTTTCTTGTGTGAATTTTGAGTTGTTGTTCTGGGCTCAGCTGCCCAGCCAGACGACAGTTGGTTATTAGAACTTGCCGCGACGTGACCGAGAATCTCAGAAGTGCAATATTACGAAAAAATTGGAATATGGCAAAGAAAAAGCAATCGGATGCAGAGCCTAAACAGAATTATTTACAACAAATTTGGCACTTTCGCCGTTATATGGTTATCGAGCCGTTCTTCTTCTTCTACTTTATGGCCTCCGTTCTCAACCAGGTGGCGCTGCAAAATTTCCCGCTGGAAAAGGCGTGTCGCGTTAATCTAGGCTATAGCAAAGCCATCTGTACCTCCATGCTGGACAAATCTGTGTTAGGTATCGAGTGCGATAATTTCAACTTTGAGAACACGACAAATGGCGCCACGCCGGAGCAGGGTCTGCTGGGCATCGATGCGACGGGCTTTAATTACACGGTTTGCAAGGCGGAAGTGGAGGTCCACAAACTTTCAGCAGATGTATCGGGAAAGCGTGCACCCATTGGTAAAACACACAGATCGTCTTTTTCTGTCTACTTTGATTATTAAGCTTATCTTATCTACACCTATAGACAATATAAGTGCAACCAGTTTAGTGCAAAATATTTCAGGTTTCATAAAATTAACACCATATAGCTATAAAATTATTTCGTATTCTTTATTCCGAATATGTCTTCAAATATATGTACATATGTATGTTAGCTATTTAATGAAACATACTAGATCAGCGTAGACTATTTTAAAAGGTAAGTATCAAATTAGGTGAACAAAAACCGAATTTGATATCGATTCCTATCGATTGCTTGTAAATAGGGAAAGTTATCGACTATCGCAAACCAAAACGTGCTTTGCCGGCACTAAGAGGTCCTAGATCAAGTCTCTAGCTCTTATTGCTTCCGAGATCGACGCGTTCATACATACAGACAAACAGTAGGACAGACGGACATGGCTTAATTGTCTCGGCTATTGAATAGAATATATGTATATAGAGATGCTTCCTTCTGCCAGTTACATACATTCGCACAAAAACAATTTACCCCCTTGACCCCCCCAAAGAATTTCCATCCGAATGATATTTTTTTCGGATCGGTTAAAAACCTGTTTGTATACTTTTTGAAGGTACTCTTAAGCTTAGAAGTAAATCTTACAACTAATATATTTAATTTTTACTGTTCTTTTCCCATTTGTACAGCCGCCATGTTCCCACTGATCGTGCTGCTCTTCGCTGGAGGCTGGTCGGACAGATATAATAAGCGCAAGCCATGCATGATACTGCCCGTTGTGGGCGAGGCGCTGGGATTTACCTGTAAGTAAGAAAATGTGAATACATATTCAGAGAGTTATCAAGAGTATTTTGCAGGTCTGCTCATCTCGGCTATATTCTTCGATAGCCTGCCCATGGAGTTTGGCATGTACCTGGAGGCGATTGTGCCCTCGCTTTGTGGTAGTATGACCTTCTGTTTGATGGCCATATATAGCTATATTACCATTGCCACGCCCGAGGAGGACCGCGTCTTTCGCTTCGGCATCTTTGCCATGTTTACGAACGGTGCACCCCTTCTAGGCGTATTTAGTGGAGTGCTCTTCAACACATTTGGTTATATAAGTAGGTTGGAAATACAATTGACATACCTATTTTTGCCCTGAGCCAAGAAAGGTATTCGAAAAAAAGCCATCATCATCGAGTCCAGAATGTATATGTATATGTCAGTCCGTCTGTACAAAAGCTTCGGGGTCTGCCCAAAAAAAAGAGATACTTGAAATTATGGACAACTTGTCCCCTTTCCATAAAATCGATATCGATATCTCGCGTTTTAACCATATCTCCCAGCAAGAGGTACAAAATTTAAGCTCTGGTATTGTTCAGGGTATCTCCTGGTCGGGCACTTTCGACTAGTGCACTCTTGATTGATTTTAACTATTCCCATTTTGATTACAGTTTCATTCGCCTATGCCGTTGTCTTTCAAATTATTGCCATACTCTACATCATCTTTTTTATCAAGGAGATTAAGCCGGCGCCTAAAAAGCCCGAGGAATCGTTCGGCGCAGACTCGGTAGCCAGTCAGCTGCAGCATGCGGCTTGTAACATGGTCTTTGCGACGACCAATCTGGATGAGCTGACCGTCAATAAGAATGTCAACTTTCAACAGACGCCGCACTTGGAGCCACCCAAGGTGGAGCCACCGCCCGTGCCAGCACGCCGTTCCTTGCTAAAGGAACTCTTTGATCCCACGCTGGTGGTGGATTGTCTCCGGTTTCCCCTTGTCAAGCGTAAGAATAAAGGACGCTTTTTATTGATTCTGCTGATTTTGGCTTATTTCTTGACGGCGGGACCTGCCACCGGAGAAAACGACTATTGGTATCGCTACACATTGAAGAAGCTGAACTGGAATGGCAACGACTTCAGCATCTATTCGACCATCTCTAGCCTAGCGGCACTGGTGGGCACCTTTATTGGCACCGCTATTCTGAGCAAAATGTTGCAATTTTCGGACTCGGCAATTGGCACAGTCTCCGCCCTGTCTACTGTCGGCTCCCACGTCTTGTTTGTATGTTTTTTAGGGGCTGACTTTTAATACCCTGAACCCATGGATAATGTACCAATAGCGAAGCATCTTCGACAACATAACGTATGCATATTTGATTAGGCCGACGAGCTGAGACGATCTTGCCAAGGCGATTTGACTTCAGATATTCAAAAATACATTCCCCACAGTGTGGAGCAAAGAGAAGATGCAACGCTCGTAAGGGAAGCTTGTCGCTGGGTTAAGGGTATATCCTAGTCGGGCAGTTCCGACTAGAGCACTCTTGTTAAATCTAAAAAAATGTATTTTTCATACAGGCCTTGGCCACAAGCAGCACTTCCTTCTATGTGGCCGTCGCGATGGACATGTTTATTAGTCTGCGCGTGATTGCGATCAAAGCAATTGGTTCCACTATTGTTGATGGAGACGAGCTAAGTGAGTAGTTTTTGATGATCGAAGACGTATCAAATCAACTCTTTCCATTTCAGGCAAAATGTATTCCATCTTTGGCATCAGTGAACCAATTAGCCAGTTCATATTCCCGCCCATCTACAGTGAGATTTATCAAAGGACTGTGGACAAATTTCCAGGAGCCATCTTTTTGTTTGGCGAAATCTTTTATGTCCCCAACGTGCTGGTCTTTGTGTAAGTTTTATACAGCCATCAAATATTTCATTCCAAGTTTAACTAATCCACGCCAAACTTATTTAGACTCTGCTATTTCTTGATGCGTCGTCGCAAGTCCAAGGAGCAGAAAAATGCCATCGAGTTGGCACAAAATAAGGAGAGCAACGGGCAGACGAATCCCGCCAATGGCACCGAGATTACTCGTCTTTAAACCAATTATATATAGAACTATAAAACAATCTACTTTTGTTATATACAACTGCAAGAGCCAAGTTTAGATCTGATTCTAAATATAACCTATGTGTAAGCCAGTCGCAGGAGTTGATGCTTAATTTCTATCAGATATGCGGGATGAGCTTAAGGCCACGTGCTTGCCCCTGGCCACTAGGAACAGGAGGAAGGAAATTTCAATAAAAACAACAATAAGGACTGCTCCAGTCTTGTGCCCGACTAGAAGTTACCCTATGCCTGCAAGGACATGTTATTATGACCATGCGACGCCCCTCGCTTGATGGTGATCGGGAAAATATATATCGTCTTCTACCTGTTACATACATTTCCGCAGAAACATTATACCCCGCTTTGCCCATTGGTAATGCGTACAGGGTATCCGCACAGATGCCCTAACCCTTTCACTGTTGCTGTTGTGCTCTCTATTCTGGCAGAGACGTTGCGCAGGACTCTGGAGCAAGTGGCAATTTTCCAATCAGCAAATGCATTCAATTTGATCAGCCAGCCGAAGTGGTGGGCGTGGCACGTGGGTGCTAAATGCCATCTTGGCCTGAACGCATGAAAACAATTGGCAACTAATAATCTCAGTTAATCTGCATGTGTGCGCCGCCTGGAGGGCAACTTGCCAGGAAAAGCACTTGTTGCCACCCCCCGCACCCCGCACACCGCACCCCACGATCTATCACTATTCACCCCTTTTTTGGAGCCACGTTTATGGCCGTGGGATTTTAGCGAAATTGCAGTTTGCTGCTTTGGTTATAAAAGCGGCTGTGCGCAGCAATAAAGGCTCAGACGTTGCTTCAACCTGCTTGTGTGTGGTTTGGCCGGAATAATTTTGGATTCTTGGCAAGTGTGAAAATTAATAAACTAAATAAAATAAAACAAAGTTAGGAGACCTCAAAATCTCCAGAAGTATAAGCTCACAGATTAAGGAACAGAAAAGTGTACACAGTTTAAGAACAAACGCTTTTAAAGTTCACTCAAGTTTCAATCTATTTTTTTAGTCCGAAATATTTAAATTAGAAACTCAGATTTAGTATTTAATTTAAGAAATGTTGTACTTTCTTTAAGAGCGCATTTCCCTTTTTTTGTATGAAAATTCTTGTTTAACTATTTATGTTTAAATACTTGCGGCAGTTCCAATTTTAAAATCAAATTATTCACACTTAATTTAAGAATATTTTAAAGAAAGTATATACACAGAGAAAGAATCAAGAAGAGAAGAGAATTCTCTCGATTTTCTAATCTCTTCTGCATTTTTACCCTTTATCTGGTTTTAATAACATTTAAACTTGTATTAATTTTCGATTTTTATTGATTTTTTAATTTGGTACAAATATTGCTTAAAATTAGTTTTTACTTAAATCTCATTTAAATATTTCTAAGATCAAACTAAGTTATCTGATTTATTTCCTAATTTTGCTATTCGTTTTTGTTTTTGACTCTTTTTCTGTATGCGTATAAATATATGTATATTCATATTTTGTTCCTTAGTGTCTGCGTTTTTCTCTGAGTGTATTTTTCAATCAAGTATTATTCTCACTTAATTTAAAAATATTTAAAAGAAACCTTGAACTGGTTTTAATAACATTTTAACTAATATAAACTTTAAATTTATATTGGTTTTTGAATTAGATAGAAATATTAATTAAAAAAAGTTATACCTAATTCTAATTAAAATATTTCTAAGATAAAACCAAATTATCTGATTTATTTCTTAATTTTGCTCTTCGTTTTTTTCTGACTTTTTTCATATTCATATTCATATTTCTTCCTTCGAGTCTGCGTTTTTCTCTGAGTGTATTCTCTGTTCATTAATTATATTTCTTCCTTTCCAGATTCTGCTGTCTAATCATGCTGCGTCTCCTGCTGCTGCCCCTGTTCCTCTTCACCCTGTCCATGGCGTGCATGGGGCAGACATTTCAGTATTCTCGTGGCTGGACCAATGGGAAACGGGCACCGCCCGCAGCTCTGCTGACCAATGGCCATAATCTGGGCCTATTGGACATTTACGATATTCAGGACAGGCCCAGCGATCTTAAGCTGGAACGGTAAGCGCTTAATTAATCTATGTGTAGCATAAAATAGCCCTCTTCTTCTTCTTGGCCAGCTGCCTGTTGCAACTGCAGCACTTTGTGGGCAACACCTTGCTGCATCGCTCCTTTGCCAACGGATTAGCGTACAGTGCGAGCAGACCCGACCCGGAAACGGAAGTGCGCAACATTAATATTCATCCCAGACCCGTTGCCAGCAACAACAATATCGAAAACAGTTTGTACCCGAACGTCAATCATCGTCAATCAAATGAGCTGTTCGAGGCTTTAAATGCGCCGGGCCCCGATGCGGTGGAGCCCAACGATTATGGCAAGCATTAAAGGCGCACGAAAATATGCCCACAAAAATATGTTTTAATTAATAATAATTGTTATTAGCAAGAAATGCTACAAAAATATTTAAAAAAAAAAAAAGAAGAAGAAACGCATTGATATTGGCAAAATTTATTGGTATTTATTTAGGTGTTATGCCTAACATCGTTATTACAGTTCAAGTTTTAATGTTAAAAAATAAAATGGAAAATCTGAAGAAATTATTATTTGTATAATTATTCTTATTTAAAGTATAGAAGTATAGTTGAACTACAGTGGCGCCATCTACTAATCTTTATAAAAAGTAACTTAGTCAGTATAACAAAAAACTGAGACAGCAGCTCATCGAGAGTTTGTTTGCACCTAGTTGCTGCCTCGGCTAAATTGGTTTATGTTTGTGCTTAAATGTACGTGGCGCCATCTGCTGTTAACATGTACAAGCCTACTGTTTGTAGCTGTTTGATGCTATGTTGCTTCACTACGAAACGGGTCTTCAACATAGCCGCTACAAATAACCGCAGAGAGCTAAAACTTGGTTGCTGCCTTGGTTAAATTGGTTTATGTTTCTGCTTAAACGTACGTAGCGCCATCTGCAGTTTGCTTGTAGAGTGTTTAACCGTTTGATGCCAATTTGCTTCTCTCCGAAACGGGTTTTTAACATAACCGCTACAAATAACCATAGAGAGTGACTTAACAGCAATGTAGTATAAAGTAGAGATGCTTCGTTGCATTCCGAAAGAGTTCAATTGAACGAGTTATTCGAATGAACTTATCCAGTTACTTGCTAACAAAAATGTTTGTTTTTTTGTAAATATCTTGAAGTATATAAATAGTTTGTATAGTGTGAGTGTATAGTATAGTGAAGATCCAGATCTTCATCTATATATATATAAATATATATATAATAAATATAAATATACAAAACTTCTATTTAATTCTTTTTCTTCTATTATAATTTCCAGAAATAATGACAGCAACAAAAACTCCACTCAGTCTTTCATTTTGTCCATAAAAAAGCTAGATTAACGTTTAGTTTACGAGCAATTGAATTGCTGAGTAACTGATTATAATTTATTACACGTGAATAACTGAAGAGTTGAGCTACAAGATGAACAAGTGAATTAGTTCGCAACTCAAAAATGAACTGAACCAGTTCAGCAAGTTAAACCAGAATTTATAGCTCTACCTCCTTCTTCCAGCTAAGGCTCTACGAGGAATAAAGTACTAAGTATTGGATGATTGCCAATCGTTAAGAAGCCGAGAGAATTGAACTGTTTATGAGTCAATTCTAAATAAATAATAATGCTTGAGGCTAACGTGCGAATCCCAAGTTTTATCATCAATCAAAAAAGCATTTCAGCACAAATGGAGGCCAGCTTTTTGGGGGGGAAAAGGAATCAAATGATTATGATGGGCATTAAATCGAAACGGGTTAAGAAATCGATAGAATGTTACGCTAAGGAGGAAGTTTAGGAAAATTGCCCTTAATACACATTAAATACATAATAAAATTTATTATATTTAATATACATTTTTATTTACACACTTATTATTTTGGATTTAAATACAATTTTACGAAAATTGGTTCCAAGATTGGGAACATTTTATGCTTAGTTCGAGTATGCAAATTCTTTAAATGATTATTATTGTATTTCTTTATCTATGGGGATTATCTTTATTTTTAAATGAAGAAAAGTAATGTCTTAATAATACATTTTTAAAAACTGAGCACAAAGTTGTTGTCAAATAAAATACTTACAAATGTTGCACCTAAATTGAAAGCGTTTTATGCTTAGTTCGACTATGCAAACTCTTTAAATGGGTTTTTTTTTATCATTTATGAGTATTTTCTTAATTTTTAAATCAAGTATAGAAATGTCTTAATAATACAATTTTTAAAACTGAGCACGAAATTTTCACTTTCAAATACAATCCAAAAGAAATTTGGTTTTTAGATTGAGAAAGTTTTATGCTTAGTTCGTGTATGCAAACTCGTTAAACGATAATTTCTTTATCAATGGGTTTTTCTTAATTTTTGAATCAACGAAAGAAATGTTTTAAAAATAAAACGTTCTGATAATGAATATAGAACTCAGTTTTTCTGTTTGCCGAGTTTTATGTTCTTATGTTTTTATGTGCCTATTCCATATTCATAAAATAAAAGCAGGACTCAAATTGTTTGTGGGCTAAAAGATATATAATTGCGCATTTATGGGAAATGTTGTGTGCACTTCGATGCGAAAACCTTGTCGAGGCACGCTTTGATGCCGACTGCCGCCCGCCGTCGGCCGCTTCGGAGTGGGTCCTGCGTCCTGCGTCCTGTTGAGATGAGAAACAGCAGCCGTTTAATTTGGCCGGGGATGAAGCTGAGCAACATGGGACAAACCCGAGCGACGTCTCTCGGCATCTTGCAGTTAATTACCTAAAGTGGTTTGAGCGTTAGTTGGACGCCGGTTCGAACCCGAAGCCGGGCCCGGACTGCACCTGTTTGGCAGATATCAAATCAAACGGGCTGCCATAAAGCTGGGCCGGCTCATCATTCACGCAATCCCATCATAAAAAAGATATACGACATGGTCACAGACACGGAAAAATGCAAAAAGAGCGAAACGCAGTTTTCAAATTGAATTCCTAACAAGCTAATCGATCCTCGGGGAGGAGGCTGTGTGCCAGGACACGGACTTGGACACGGACAGGGACACGGACAGGGACACGGACAGGGACAGGGACAGGGACACGGACTCTGCGCACGCACCGCCCCTGCGGCTGCTTGGGGAATATGAATTTATATGTTTTAATCTGCGCCGGGGCTGAATCGAGTCCTGTTTTGCCCTGACAGAGCTGGCATGAAATAAAAGTGAAATTAAGGACGCAGGACATATTTCAACAATGCAGCGCTGTTTATTGTCAATGTCAAGTGGGCCTCCGGGGGTGTGAAGTGGCAACCAGGGGGCAGGGGCGGGGCCAGGGGCAGGGCTTCGAATCGAGTTGTAATTGCATTAAAATGCAATTGCAATTGCCGCTCGTTCAGCTCTTCTCGCAGCTTTCCCAGGCTCTGCGGCTCTGCTCCTGTCGTCATCGACTTGTCGATTGTTGACTGTCATCCTGTGTGTGTACTGAGTCCGGGTGTCATCTAGGTGGCCGTCCGGGCCGTTCTCGTAGGTGCCCTGTCCGACTGCGTAAATTGTATTGAAAGCTGCTTTTAACACGTCCTTTCAAGCGGTCACCATTGCGAGCAGTTGTCCTCTGAGCAGTTGTCCTCCGGCTGCCGACAACTTTATCAAATTGCTTGCAACACCTCCAATTAACTGTTCAAATTGAAAGACATTTTTGATCAGTTTCTTCTTTTCAGCTAAGATTAAAGTTAACATTTGGGCCATGAACTGAGTCGATTTAAACATGGCTCGTCTCTCTGCCAAAGCTGGAGACATTTGAGATTTATTTACATATTCTTCCACTCAATACGCAGATCTAGATCATTTTCTTTTTTCGATATCTCTTCCTTTAACTAACATCGATATTTATCGATTTTGGGGCAAGGCTAAATTTGACACAGATTTATAATAATATAAAGTCCAAGCAAAGTCTTTTAACTTGGTTATAAAAGAGAAGTTCTGTGAAAAGTTCAGCTCTGTAGCTCTTTTAAGATTGGGCTGTTTGTTGATCATCAATCCGTCAGTCAGTCAATCAGTCAATCAGTTTTTCTGTGTATGAATTAAAAGATGGAAACAGAGAACAAAAGATGTACAGAAAATTGTTTGTGGAAGTTGAGTTGAAATACTTAAAGATAACTTTACAATGCAATTAACTTAATATCTTCAGATAGCTGGGAAATAAAAAGCAAATAAAGTTATATAATAAAAATAAAAACTTTAAACTTGAATTATGTAAATATATAAATAGAAACTGACATTAATTTTAGAGCTCTTAAAGTGTACGTGAACTAAGTTAAGTATTTCAAAGAAAATCTCGTAATGTTTCTCTTAGTATATTTAAAATTGGGCTGTATGTTGATAATCAATCAGTCAGTCAGTCAATCACTCAGTCAGTTTTTATATATAAGAATTCAAAGAAAGAAAATTTACACAAAATGGTTTGTTGAAGTTGCGTTGGCATCTAAGAGAAATACTTAAAGAAAACTTAACCATGAAAAATAATAATATTTTAATATCTTATAATAATATCTGCAGATAGCTGGGAAATAAAAATGTATACATTTATATAAAAATTAATAGTTTTAAGCTTGAATTATGTTAATATAATAAAAGAAACTAGAGTCAATTTTAGACTCCTTACTCTCAGCGTGAACTAAGTGAACTAAGTATATCAAAGTAAATCCCGAAATGTTTCTCCCAGGATATATTTATTGAAGTTGAAAGTTCTCGCAACTTTCCCAGGGTATTTACGTGCTTGTCTATTTGTAGCATCTGCTGTAACTCTTGTTATCTAAATCAAGTGCTGAGATAATCTCAACACTTGCCGCTGCTGCGACCGGGCTAAAAACAGTGCTCACCCCCTACGAGGAACACACGAGGCCAGAACAGGCGACAAGCGGATAACAATTATATTAAACAGCAAGCAAAACAATATTCGCGCAGGATTTGTAACAGGATACGCGTGTAACCACGAAATGGCAAGTCCTTCAGTCAACAGCAACAGCAACAACAATAACAAGGATAATGCGTAAAACACCCTTTCAATTAAATATTTGAAAACAACATTCGGCAATTACACAATTGACACCAGCTGAGGGGTGGCAAAAGAGCAGCCCACCCCACCCCACTTCACCCCAACTTCCCCTTGGCATTATTCCGGCGCAACTTCATCAATTTGAAATGCTGGCAAGCGCGTGAGTCGAAGGCACGCGCGTCAATTCTCGCCGCGATCCGGACTCCGGGCACCGCAGGGATTTGAATAGGGATGAGGGGCGGGGTTGCGGGGTGGCAGGTTCATAAACAACATCAACAAGGACAAGTTGCGCTCGTTAAACATTAGTCAACATGAACATGACATGGCCAATGCCCCATGCCAAGCTCCTGCTCCTGCTGCGCTCCGGCCGTATTAAGGCCCGTTTTCACGTTCGTTTCTCAAATGTCGTAAGTCGTGGGCTTCTTTTTATACCCTGAACCCAGGGAAAGTTAATAAAAAAAGGT